CCTAAAATCGTTTGTGGACTTCTCCTAGAAGGCGGCCGGACGCTTCAAGTTCACCGGAGAGAGGAGGCGCCGGCGAGAGAGGCGGCGGGATTGGAGGCCGACCGTGCGGGCTCCTCTGTTTTTCGCGAACAGGAGCTTACGGGCGGCAGTTTTCGGGAATGAGCTGGGCCGAACGGGTGTGGGGGAAAATAAGTGTTCATTTTAAGTGGGTGGGGCCTCTTGGCTGAGGCGTACGCCTCTTTCAAATTTGCGCAATTACGCAACTGAGGCGCGCCTCAGCCAATGTGAGGCGTACGCCTCACATAGTCCACGAATTGCATACGCCTCAGGGCGTTTTTGGACAAAATTGTGCAGAGGCGCACCTCTCGTTGCGCAATTTTAAACAGTGATCTGAACTTACGGTTATTTACAACTAACATCACTAACCTGAGTTAAACAAATATAGAAGAACGCCTCCAAAATGCAACTCACCAAACGTCCAATCCTTCTCCTGCTCGAGCATAAGAAGAACTTCAGAAAAAAAAGAAAAAAAAAAAAACACTGAAGAATGAAGAAGATATGAGAATGAATATAACTCCTAATGTGCTTTACGGACCTAATCGGAGCAGCTAATAACTCGAGCACCAGAAGAACGAAGCCAATAAGTGATGCCCTAGCGCTCACGAAGGGGAAGGACGTCGCACTCGTCTCTGCCTCACGAACGAACCAAGCAGACCGGCTCTTTAACAGGTTATTAAGTTTATTTAATTTTTCTAGCTCCGGACCTCCGAATTTTTTATTCTCCCGGTCTAAAATTCCCGCTCACTCAGGCCGTCACGCGTAGATGGAAATATGGAATTCGCAGTTTCGCAGTCTGCCTTTTAATCGAGCCGGCTCGACGAGCGCTCGAGCCGAACAAGACTTAACTCGAACTCGAGCTCGATAACACACCGAGCTCAAAATTCTGCTCGAGCTCGAGCTCGAAACTCGATAAGCTCGACTCGCGAGCTCGTTAACGAGTCGAGCTCGAGTCAGCTCACGAGTCGGCTTGACTCAGTTACACCCCTACATATGATGTATTGGGTTAATGAATATTTGGAATGAAATCTTGTTTTGTTATCTTCTTCTTCTTGGTCTTGTGGTGCACTAGAGAGGAGAACGAGAGCTCAAGGTGAGGGCGAAAGCAATACCCACCAATCATTGGAAGAGTCCGTGACTCGTGGTCTATCTCCATCATCCCGCTCTTCTTCTAGCCTCTCTCTTGGCCGCCGGCCACCCCACCTCCACCACCCGTCCCCACACCACTCAACCACTGGCCTCCTTCCTCATCCCCCACTTGTTTAAATTTTGAAAATTCAAAATTGATTGAGTTCCAAAATTTTGAAATTTGTCAAAGCCAAATTAGGAAAGTTTTCAAATTCAAATCAATTTGAAATTCAAATTGAAGTGGATCTCATAATCAAGCTTCCTAAAGCGAAGGAACTAATTTGGAAGGTTCATAACTCGCTCCCACCTCCTCCCCTCTCCCTCTTGAACCCGTGGGCCACCCATGGCTCCACCCCTCATTGATTGCCACATTAAACCCCTCCCCCATTTGAAATTAAAAATTAATTTCAAATAAATCTTCCCCTCCAAATTTTCAAATTCAGAAATTAATTTCAGGATTTGTTTTAAAACCCTTCCCCCTCTCTCTACAAAACCGCCGGCCTCCCCTCTTGTCTCCCCTCCTTAACTCCACCATTCAATGCATTAATGCCTTTGATTTGAAATTCAAAATTCAAATCAATTCCCTCCCAATCTAATCAAATCTGAAATTAAATTTCAGATTTTGATTAATTCCCTCTGCACTCCACTAAACCTAATTTCTCCAAACCCTAGCCCATCCCCCCTTACACCCGCCGACTTCTCCCTCACTCCTTGGAAATCCCGCCGCCCTCTCATCTCCCTCTTCCTTCCTCGCGAACCACAGCTGCTCTCCCTCACCACGTCATATTTCCCCTCTTCTCATTAGTGCTCTCTCAACGTCGGCAAGAATGCATGGCGGATCCCGAACTTGAATGGGGACTCGTGTTTGACGCCGACGGTAATATCAACATTCTACGATCTCCATTCTTCGACGTGGGCTTTGAACACGACGACACCATTGGAGATTACTTGGATCGAATTCTCCCCATCCTTGCGCACGTCATCGACCGCCAATTTTCCGACTACGATTGGATCATCGTCGGCCACCCACCACCCTCATCTCCACCGGTTACCTCTCCACCAACGAAGTTCTTTGGCGCCGTCTTCCTAGTGGTAATATCCTTCTTCATATGGTTCATCTTCCTCCGCTAAAGCTTACAAGTAGTTGAGTGAGAAGGACCTTGAGGTGAACCTCTCGTTGTTAAACGTTGGATTATATTATTTGTACTTAGCATTTAATTTTGCCTCGAACTTTAAAAGAATTGTTTGGTTATTCTCTATTGCACGTCTTTAGCCTAAGTAAGTTGAATATTTCAAATTCATCTCTCTCTTTTATGCGCTAAAGTTAAATTTATATGAGCAAAGCTTTAATCAACTATCTTTCTAATTTCTACTTGTAACTCCTAGTAGTTTCACATTAACTAGGGTTCAAGATTCTTGATTTTGGTTAATTGATGTTTTGGTTGTTGCACACAAAATATTTGGATGCAACTGTACCTATATGGTGCTAAGACTTCCTTTTTCTGCACATTGATTATTGTGTTTTTAACATGGCAAACACTTATTATTCCTATTACCCTTTAATAAAAGAATTTGTCTCACATTCCAATTATTTGTTAGAGTTGAATTTCCTGTTATCATAAAATTCCAATTGTACTAATTGAAAATTTTCTTTATGTTAGAGGTTGGGTTAGCATTATTGAGGAACTTTCTTTGTCCGTCAACTAAATCAAAGTTGAAGGTTAGTTTTAACAGATTTGATATTTTCATCTTTACCAGATTTGGCATCTTATGATTTTCTCGCTACTTCATGCGACAGAGGTTAGAGAGTGGGAAGGCATCGAGACTTGCTAAGAGAGTAAGTATTCTATTTACTGCTTATTTTGTTCAGTTTCAAAGCTATATGCTTCCATTTGTTATTGGTGCTTTTACAATAATTTTCCAGGTAATAGCATGTCTTGACGTCAGGGCAAATGATTCAGGCGATCTTGTTGTTACTAAAGGTGATCAATATGATGTACGTGAGCATACAGATGAAAATGAGGTTGTTAGAGTCTCTCTCTCTCTCTCTCTCTCTCTCTCTCTCTCTCTCTCTCTCTCTTGTTCAATAACTGTGTTTAAGACCCTAAATCCCGTAAAAAAAACACCCACATTCAAATAAGCACTGAGGTTCCATTTTGTGCTGTGATAATAATGAGATTAGGGCCATTAGGCTTTATGTCCATCTTCCAGCTAAACATCAATTTGAAATTGTTATCGCTTATTGAATTTTGATTGAATGGAAGTTATACCAGTTTGCATTTTTCTTACATGGGCCGACATAATCTCTTTATGCCGGTCTTTCTTGTTATTTAGCAAATGATAGAATATGTGCTGTGATCTTGAATGATCAACTTCATTTTTGGGAATAATTCAAGTGGCAGTTCTGTATTCTTCCAGTTGTGCTGCAAATTTTTTAATAGGGTTGTCACTTTGTATGAACTTTTCTTTGTTAATTGTTGTTTTTCATTTTATTTTATTTTATTGTTTTTTTCATTTTCCTGTCTGCTGAAAGATGCTCTAACTTGACATGCACTTAATTTGACCTTTTAATTAACATCAATTTTACTCTACTTAAATTCTTTTCATTTTGCATGGAATTTTTTTTTGGAATGGTTTGTGGTAATGGTATATTCTTACAGAGTGTGAAATGTTAATCTGCAATGGCTTTCCCCTTTTTGATAACTTCTGCCATCATTTGGTATCACTCAAAGAGCATGCTAGTATGTTGACGCAAAAGTAATTTGGAGGTCCCCTATTCGAGGCACAGAAACATCCTCTGTGCAAATGCAATGGCATTGCTTTAAATTTGGCTCAAGTCAATATCACTAAAAAATTAGATTAAAAGTCAATGAGCTAGTAAATGATCCAAGCTCTGTTTGAATCAAACTTGAATTGATTTTAGCTTGGATCAGATTGAATTGGCGTGAGATTGAATAAAAATGTATATTTGTAAATACTTACAGTTGAGATAAAGGCTAGTGATCAAGATGCGATGTCATAAATCACGTTGTGCAAAAAGCATAAACAAGAAATTGAACAAAGAGAAAAGCTGTTGAGTATAAACTGAGATAATGAATGTGTTGTAAGAAAAATATTAGGAATTGGGTGACCAATCTTACTCTAGTGACATGGTCTTGTTTAGTTGTGTTTGAATTATTTCCTAGTTATGCTAAGTGTCTAGTAAGTGAATATTTCTGGAAATTAAAACATGGTTATATCAAAAGGTCCAACATGATGCCCCATAGTGTCCAAGCTCTATTTTAACACATGTAGAAACAATTATTTATAATTGTTATGCTTTGTAATTAAATAATATTACGAAAAAGAACTCATATGAACTTGGATTTGCCTAATTTTGTTGCAAAAATATGCTTCAAGTGGTAAAGTGCATTTCAAGAGCACAATAGTTTTGTAGTTATCCATCTTATGTGATTATATGGGGAATTCTATTTTATTTTTTACCTTTTATGGTAAATTCTTTCTATGACAGTTGCAGCTCAATTTTATTATTGTTCTGCTACTTTTTTTGTAGACTTTTTTTTTCTTTTTCTAGCTATTCTCTATTAAACTTTATACTTCACCCGCTACAATGTTCTCTATCGCTTGTGATCATCAACAAACCAGGATGCTCCTTCTGTGTTCCTTAATGTTGTGTTGATTTTGATTTATGCGTGGGTGTTAGGAATGGACTCCTACTGGTTCATTATTGAAATAAAAACCAATACACAATGGTATTAGCCATAGAGTACAACTTAAAATAAAGTTAAAGATGAAATAGGAAAAGGAAAAATTTCCTTCCAAAGGCAACCATCACATGATCCTTATTGCTGGTCATAGCAATCCTCATCCTCAATCATCCTCATCATGCTTGTGCAACCAACCATCCTAGGAGCCTTCCAAGGATATTCAGAATTACAGGAAGCTTCTAACTTGTTAACTCTGAACCTGGTCATCCTGCTCCTGAGGCTGGCCAGTTGCCGCAACATGCTTTATTGGCATCTTCCTACTTTCACAACTGTAAAGCCATCTTCAGGCAAAGAAGGCAACTATCAACAAGCTCAGGACCTTCAAGCAATGCTATTTAAATAAAAGTACCAGGTAAGGGGTCATCTCCAACTGATTTCGCACGAGTCAGCTCATGTAGATGGAAAATAGGGAACTCATTGATGGATGGCAAATACATAGGATTTGAACACGATATGCAAATAAAAAGAAAGAATTTGAGCCTACAAGTTGCTAAAAACAGTAATAGAAATGTCAAAGTGATAGGAAATACTTGAGTTCGCAAGTAACCCTAATGGAAAATACTTGAGTTCGCAAGCAAACCTAACAATAATTGGTAAAACAGCGAGAAAAACTCAAGAACGTCGGTGAAAAAAATCCAAAATAGGAGATTGTATTATAGGAATCAAATCAAAGGAAGCACAAAGCAACGATACAATTGATCCTCAATTCGAGAGGAGAATCGTTTTCTCCCAATCTCTAGACGATGAGTCTAGAGCCCAAGAAACCAAAGAGAACTTTAAGAGAAACAATAATCAAGCTTACCCTAACCCTAATTTTCATCATATTTAAGGCATGCAATTAAACAATAGAGCCAAAAGACCAAAATGCCCATGCCGCCCCCTCCTTTGGCTCCAAGTTTGAATTTGAATATCAAGTGGACTCCACCCTTTTCTCTCTTTCCTTTGCCGCCGCCCCCTTCTTACTGTAAACCCGAACTGGTCCCATAGAAGGGGCCGGCTGGACTGGTCCACTAAGGACCGATCTAACACAAAGGGTATTATTGCAGCCATAAAGACACCCCTCAAACCATCTAAGTAATTTCACTTACAAACTTTACGCTGACTGATTCCCAAATCATCCCATTACCATCAGCACCCAAGGTCTTCCAATAGCCAAGCCTTCCTCCAAAGTACGAGGAATAACCTTCATCCCAAATCATGGAAGAAGGCTTAACTGCAACATCATACTTTAAATTACCTCCAAACTTAGTTGAAGTATCCACTTCCAAAACAGGATAAATTTATGCGCCTTTCAGCTACCTCAGGATCCACCAATGAATCTCTAGTCTGCACTACACCATTAATAGCATAAGTAGCTTTAGGAATAAGTACCTTAGTCTTGTCACCTCGCTTAAAACCTCCTTCCTCATAGGTAAATGGTCATCAGTTTTTTTTTAATGTGTTGTATTGCATTTTCATGGTTGACTTGATTTTATCTTTTCATGTAGTTGTAGTCTTTCTCATCATTAAAGATATAATTTTAGACATTCAATATTGTGTCTTGTGTTATGCTATGATTATGATTTTATTTGTGATAATTATTTGATTGTTCTTAATAATATTGATTTATATGCAAATGTACTTAGTTTAGATTGGTTTGGTATAAAGATTGTGCTGTTAATTGATGTAGTTTTGCTTTATGAAAACTTAAGTAAAATATAAATATATGAAATGATAAAAAATAGTGTACTTAAGTTAGTTCAAGTATTGTTTCAATTCACACTTTCATCTTTAAATCTTAAAAACAAACAAAAAGAAAACAATGTTTTGCTCTTTGAGTTTTAAATCATAGATCATCTTTATCAGTTGTCTTAGCATTTGCCATATTTGGCTTATGAATAATCATTTTTCATTCATTTTTGTTGAGTGTTGCCCGAGTTGTTAAACTTATTTGTTTACCCATTATTTTGAACTTTTATTTATGTCACCTTAACTCAATCCTTTCTCCTTCCTAGTAGGTACATTTTCTACCTTTTGTACTTTTCCATCACCTGATTTTCTTTTTAATTACCTTGTCTTCATTATATATCACACCAACCATTTTTTAATATAATCATTTTTCAAACTTATCCTTCCTAATTTTTGCATGTATCCATATTGACATTCTCATTTTATCAACTCTCAATTTTAATGTCAATGACTTGTTACCCCGCAATACTTAAATCCTATAATATCATCATTTTAATTGTGGTTCTATAAAATTTACTTAGAAATCTTCTTGATATCTTCTTTATTGAATAATACTTCCGAGACACTTTTCTTTTTTTAACCATTTATCTTAACCCTAGAAGATATGTCCTCATTTTTTTATATAATTAGATTAAAGAAACTAACTCGGCACACCTAGTTATTATCTTATCTTCTAATAATATTAATTAAGAATTGTTAATATTATAATCACTAAAATTACATATCATATACTTGGCCTTTGTTCCACTAATTTTAAATCCTCAGTCTTAAGATTTTCTCCATTGTTCTAGCTTTTCATTTATTTCTATAGATATCTCATAAATAGAAAAAAGTGCTTAACCTGTATTAATGCAGGTTCACTATATTTCTTCCTTCTAGACTAAATTAATACTTTCAACAGGTTAGAAACCTTGGCAAGCCAGTGGAGCTTGCTGGTCAATACTACAGTGATGGAGCTGATGAGGTTGATTTTGGATTCACAGTGCTGACAATGATCAATATGTTTCTCTGAACTCATTTAACATGTATGCATTGCATTTTAGGTTACTTTCCTTAACATAACAGGATTTCGTGATTTTCCTTTGGGAGATTTGCCAATGCTTCAGGTTTGTGTCCTTTTCTTATTCATTTTCTTTTGGTTCTTTCTTCGCAATCTGTTATTGTAAGTTTCATCATCATTCCTATTATGCATGTTAATTAAATTTTGTTCTGCAGGTACTGCGCTACACATCAGAAAATGTCTTTGTACCATTGGCAGTTGGTGGTGGTATAAGGGACTTCACAGATGCAAATGGAAGGTCATATTTATTTGTTTTTCCTTAACAAAATGTCATGTTGAATATCTGTATTCATATTTTGATGGCCATCCTTATCGATTAAATTGGATGATATGTAGTCACGAATATGTTTCCTAAAATGATTGCATTCTTATTTTGTTTCCATCATGCTCCTATGTTAAACTAGTATTTGACTGTCATGCTGCAATTTCTAGTTATTGTCCTTGTTTCCAGCTTCTGGATTGACATAATAGCTTTTGTTATTCTTAATTGCTATTGCTTCTGTGTTCGTGGCTTAACTGCTTTACTTAACAATTGTGAAAAATTTACATGTGCTTTACACCATAAAAATGCAAATAAATTTATTGCTTCGCATATTTAATTCTTATGTCAAGATAATGCTAGTTCATCTCATAAAGGCTACAATAACTTTGGACTCTTATAAAGTCTTACTATTTTTTGTCTGTATAAAATGCTTTAAAAACAGCTCAGTGCTTCTTCAGAATGAGAAGGCATGTAATTTAACTGCACAATAATATTTGCAGCTGAAGATAATTCTGCAGGCTTAAAGTTAAGAGTTATTATATCCAGCATTAACTCCACACTATTATATGCTGCTGTTGCAAAATATCCATCACAAACATTTTCCCAATACCGTAATGGTGAAACTAAACTAGAAAATTAGTTCTTACAAAGCCTATGTTGCTATTGAAAGAATGCAGAATTTTTCCAAGTGTAGTGTTTTTTAACCAAATGGCTTCTTCATGTAAATAGAACCTACTCCACCGCCTTTCCAAAAAAATGCACAGACAATATGGGTGATTCTTGCTAACCATTGTTTTCCTATCTAGTGATTATCTTGCTAGGACTGATGGATATCCTATGATGCATTGACATTTTTCCTCAAAGCGGTATATAGTGTCCAACATTTATCGGACATGACAAGTTTTCGACACGCCTCCGACATATGTTGAACTTGACAAAGATGTATCCTATTAAAAAAATATTTAAAACTGATCACGTGTCTTAAATATTTTATGAAAAAACTTTTTTAAATATAATTTATTATGATCAAAATTATTATTTATTAAAAAAATGAAAAGTATATATTTTTTAAATTTTCTATCAACAACCCAAAATCAATCACCCTCACTCAACATTCTATTTATTGAATATTCTCATTTTCATTTATCTCTGACAATTCGCGACAAGTGCTTAACAACAGCGTCTGATGTTGTCTCAACATCAGCATCTTGCTTCATCACAACATCAACATTTCAAAACCATATGAACATCGAAGTTTGGTGTTGTCTTGATATTGACACTTAATGCTAGCAATTTTTACAACCACAATCATGCCCCCACACTATCTTGATCTCTCTTCTTTGTTCAGCATTGTCTCAATATCGATGAGTGATGTTATTGTTAACTTCATTTTTGGCATCGGTCACTTGCACAATCTTGTCACTTTCATATTTCGTAGATCGATTTATTTGCTTGTATGTTGCACCGTTGTGTTGATGAAGGGTTAGATTGTGTATGTTACCTCTGCTCGTCGTTGGCCTTAGGATTTACTCCTTTTGATGATTTGATCACATGTTGTTCTCTTATCATGTTTTAAAATGCATGTGGCTGGGTCGATGACGATTCGATGTGATTTCACGCATTTAGCCTTTATCGTGTATGTTCGTTCCATGCACAATATCTTTTGATCGGGACCTCATTTTGCGAAACGGATTCTGGGAGTGCACCCGGATCGCCGAGATCTTTCAAACGAGTCTATGCGCGCTCAAATCGGACACTGTTTCGCACATGTCGAGGATAGAGATTGAGATTATTGTCTTCATTGTTATCATTATTATGTATATATCTGATGTCATAAAATATAATAATATATATGTCTATATTTTCCCGTTAATTAAATAAATATAACAAGTTAAATATAAATATAAATATATAAATACATATAATCAATAAATGAACATATATATTAAAAAAATATAGTAGAAATAAAAATAATATATTATTTAAGTTAAATGCGAATTGGACTCAAATACAAACTAACTTTTATCTTCTTTTTTTCACATCTCTCCAACTCAGGTAAGCTCAAATCTAATGGCTGAAAATAAAATTTCAAAGGCAGCATTAGATATTAGCCATATGATCAAGGACATCGATGGTCATGATATAAATTTATCTTATTCTCTTACAGGTGGGATCAAGGGCTAGGACCAGCCACAAGGAGGGGGATCCACGTTTTTATCTTGCTCCTCTTCACATGTAGCGGCTCCCCACACTACAGCAGGTCTCCCTCATATTTTTAGTTCGGAAGGAGCTCACGCCTCCCCCTAGCCTTACGACTCCTATTCAAGCAGATATAAGCAGCCGCCCCCATGGGAGAGACCTAATCCTCCACTTTTTGGAGCCAGTAGATGTTTATCACCAAAAGAAAGAGAGAAAAAAATGAATAGCAGACCGAATTAAAATGATATCTAAATTTATTATGTTTTGACCATCACATTCATTTAAGAATTAAAATGTAAACAATAACTCACTTTAGCATCATTGCGTTCTACTTCAATTCTTCACCATAAACAAAAAAAACTAATGATGATAGTAACAGAAAGATGAATAGTTAAATGACAGAATAGTAAAAGTGAGGTGCCAAACAAATATACAGCTCATAGCACATGTGGATCATACCTTTATTTCCATTGACTTGAACTTTAACAAAAATAAAAAAATTACTGATGCGTTAAATTGTATTTACATTAAATCCAGGACTCACACGTCTTTATTTTATTTTAGAGATCAGAGCAAAAATAAAGTAAGAGAATCTCACATCCTTGTTTGGCTGAAATCTGGAGTTTGACTTGGCCTTAATCTGGAGCTTGCTTTGACCGAAATCTGGAGCTTGACTTAGCCAAAATCTGGAGCTTGCTTTGGTCAAAATCTAAAGCTTGCCTTGACCGAAATCTGCTATAGGAGCTGGTTGAAGTTTGCTGTCCAAGGAAAATAGTGGTCAGATTCATGGATAGACCTTCTTCTTCCTCTTGCTTGGACGGTTGGAGAAGAGGAAGGAGTTGCTTGGAGGTGAATCACGAAGAATGAGGGCTTCTAAGATGTGAGAATGTGGCTAGGGATAGATCGAGGGGAAAGGTTGTGGAGAAATCCCAGTAGCACCCATCCTTGGCCGGCCCTACTGGCTCCAAAAAAGTGGAGGATCAGGTCTCTCCCATGGGGGCGGCTGCTTGTGTCTACCTGAATAGGAGTCGTAAGGCCGGGGGGGAGGCGTGAGCTCCTTCTGAACTAAAAATATGAGGGAGACCTGCTGTAGTGTGGAAGCCGCTACATGTGAAGAGGAGCAAGATGAAAACGTGGATCCCCATCCTTGTGGCTGGCCCTAGCCCTTGATCCCACCTGTAAGAGAATAAGATAAATTTATATCATGACCATCGATGCCCTTGATCGGATGGCTAATATCTAATGCTGCCTTTGAAATTTTGTTTTCAGCCATTGGATTTGAGCTTACTCTAGTTGGAGAGATGTGAAAAAAAGAAGAAAAAGGTTATTTTGTATTTGAGTCCAATTCCCATTTAACTTAAATAATATGTTATTTTTATTTATACTATATTTTTTTATTATATATGTTCATTTATTGATTATATTTATTTATATATTTATATTTAACTTGTTATATTTATTTAATTAACGGGAAAATATAGACATATATTATTTTATTTTATGACATCACATATATATACATAATAATGATAACAATGAAGACAATGATCTCAATCTCTCTCCTCGACACATGTGTGAAACAGTGTCCGATTTGAGCGCGCATAGACTCGTTTGAAAGATCTCGGCGATCCGGGTGCACTCGCAGAATCCGTTTCTCAAAATGAGGTCCCGATCAAAAGATATTGTGCATGGAACGAACATGCGCGATAAAGGCTCAAATGCGTGAAATCACATCGAATCGTCATCGACCCAGCCACATGCATTTTAAAATATAATAAGAGAACAACATGTGATCAAAAGGAGTAAATCCTAAGGCCGACGATGAGCCGAGGTAACATACGCAAGGTGACCCTTCATCAGCACAGCGGTGTAACATACAAGCAAATGAATCGATTTACGAAATATGAAAGTGACAAGATTGTGCAAGTGACCGATGCCAAGGAGGTCAACATTTATCTTGACATTGACAATCGACATTGTTTTTACACAACGGTCGACATCGTCTCGATGCCTATTGCACAACATCGATGCCCAACTCTCAATAACATTATCAGCTCCCCTCTCAATGTATGTCACAAAACATTGATACTTGACTCTCAACATCCTAATATTAATCATTTAAGAACAAAGCATATTTAAATGTCTTATTATTTCTCAATTATTCTTAATATTTTGTTTATCAATTTCTATTTACTATTTTTTAGAAATAAATATTATAATATTGTGTTCAACTCATATCCATATCTTATATTTTTCAATAATTGACATATCTAGTGTTGTTGTCATGTCGTGTCTGTGTCGCAGTGGCGTATCTGTGCATCATAATAGATGTCCGTAAAAAAACAATTATGTGAAAAAACTTATGTGTATGGGGGGTTTGCTTCTGGTTGGCATTTTTCCCTTGCTTCGTTGTTGTTTACCTCATTGGATGCCTATTGGTTGTAGGACCTTGCAGAATGGTTTTCCACGTCCAATGCCTCACTGAAAATTCCATGGTAGTACATATAGGTGAACTATGAGATTCAGTTTATTAAGGCATTTATTGCCTAGTTAGCCTCCCTTGTATAACTTTTCCTGATTAATTGCTAGAGTATCATTTTTTTTCTGTGAAAAAAAGCTACCAGATGTCTCAAACTATAGTGTAGTTGCTCTGATGTGGATCAGGTCTCGCTTATTTTCATATATTTAATTTTTGTAATTAGTATTAAAATTTGTTTAGTTAAATTTTATCATTATTTTGATTCTTTTGCAGGTACTATTCATGTTTGGAGGTAGCATCAGAATATTTCAGATCAGGAGCAGATAAAATTTCAATTGGAAGTGATGCTGTCTATGCTGCAGAAACCTATTTGAAAACTGGCGTACGTGTTTTTCTTCAAACCCTCTCTTTGAGCTTCATTATATTTGACTCAAGCTAATATTCTCCTCTTCAGGTCAAGACTGGACAAAGCAGCATAGAGCAAATTTCTACAGTTTATGGCAAGCAGGTTGCCCTTAGTGTTGCTCAACTAATTGGATGTTAGAATAATCACACGATTTGAAAAAAAAAAAAGACAAAAAGAAAAAAAAAAAACCCTCTTACAATTGGAGGCTTATGTGCAGCCATTTCAAACCTCAAGTAATATTGTCATTCTATGATTTACTCCTCGATATAGCCATCTGGATCCTGTAATCATAATATGCATTTTTGCCTCCTTTCAAGGTCAGCGTGACTGACTAGTTTGTTTTTTCTTTCAAGTTTGCTTTCCCTGAACCTTTATCATGAGAAATAAAACCAAATGATGTGCCCTGGAGCATGCATATTGTTTCAGAAGGGAGATCGTCATTCTCCTTGTTGTTTTGTGTCACGGAAAGATTTAATTGTTGTAACCTTGTAGACATTAGGTCGTATGCTCAATGTTTCTTAACTTTGAATCCAACCATTACTTGATATGCTTATTGATTGAATCAAGAAGGTTAGGGCACCTTTTGAGTGAGTCGAGGAGGAGGGGGAAAAAGAAAAGAAGCAGGAAGAGGGAAGAGACATTATTCTCCCTCTTTGACTTTAGGCTTCTTTTTCTCTGCAACACTTTTTTATAAAATTATTGTTAAAATTCTTGCCAATCATTTAAAAGTTAGTTATGCTTTTCATTATACACTTTAGCCTCTAGCATAGGATTTCTACTGACATTATCATTCTGATTAATGAATTTCTTTATGAATTCCAACACAGTAGAATGGGGATCTTTTCTATACTAAACTGGATTTTAAGAAGTTGTTTGACACTGTTAATAAAGAATTTCTTTTCCTCAGAATGAGCCAACAAGGTTTTTGACCTCTTTTTATGGATTGGATCAAATTCATTATTGTATATGCATTAATGGCTCCTCTGAAGGTTTCTTCAACTCCTCATCTTGCCTCAGGAAATGATGTCCCCTTTCTGTATTTCTCTTATGTATAGTGATAGATGATGCTCTTTCTATTATTTTTGAATCTAAAAGGGCTGGTAAGACCTATGAAGGGGTTTTTTTTGGATCAACATTGCCTTTTTCATCTAGTTTATGCAGATGATCTATTTATTTTTGGTAAAGCTGGGCACAATAATCTTTCCGCCCCAAAGACAGCCTCTTTGCTTTTGGGCATAAACCATGTTAAAAGCTCTATGTTCTTCTCTCCCAAGATCTCCAATCCCACTCCTCTCAGCTCGGCCCTTAACATACTGTTGTCTAATCCTAAGCTGCTCTATCTTGGGGCTAAATCTCCACCAAGTAATTTCATCTCGCCGGCTTCTATTATCTTCTACATAAAAACTCTTCAATCTATTGGTAGGTGAAAGGCTAGATCTTTATCTTTTACTCGCAAATGTCAATTTTTATTTACTCTTAAACCATTATCGGGTCAATGAGATTTTAGGGTCAAGAATTTTGTAATTGACAGCTGAAATAACCGACTAATGGAAGGACTGAAATTTGGTGCGTGCAAGTATTGATTTTCTTTATCTATTCCATGTTGTTTTCCTGACAGATTCACCAATTTCATGTGATCCTAAATTTGGTTTATCATTGATATTTTAGCTAAAACTGAAAGTTCTGACCATACCAACTTTTTTTATTTTCATCTGGATCTTTCTAGATAAGAATTTTTTGTTGAAAATAAATGATAATTTACAGTGTTGTCGATAAGTAATTATTTTTCCTTTTCTATTCTCAGGCTGTGGTAGTAAGCATAGATCCTCGCAGGTTATATGTCAAGAGTCCTGAGGAAGTTGAATTTAAGACTGTAAAACTTAGGAGTCCAGGTATAATTTGTTTGTGATTTAGGAATTCATCTGCCTGCTTCCTCTTTCTACAAGGTTCAAATCTTAATCAGAAATAATTATTATTTGGCTTCTTCTAATGTCGAATTCAGGCCCACATGGAGAATATTATGTATGGTATCAGTGCACGGTAAGCCTCATCAATTGATTATTTTAATTTATTTCCTAATATATTTGTTCTCTCTTATTGAGTTAATCCTGTGTTCAGCATAACTTTACCATCTCTTGTCATGAAGCTGTGTTTTGTTCATGGAAGCAGATGCTTTTGAAGCAGCTTCAAAGGAATTGCCACAGTTTTGATTCTTCAGTTTGTTTTTCAAGCAGATCAATGGTGGACGTGAAGGTCGACCCATCGGAGCTTATGAGCTTGCAAAAGCTGTAGAAGAGCTTGGAGCTGGAGAAATATTACTCAATTGCATTGACTGTGATGGTATCCTGCTTTCATGGCTTTTTACTCTAATCCGCCAACACTTTGCCTTTGGATTGTTTGGTTGATAGGAATTTGTGTCAAAGGAAATAAAAAAAGGGTTGAATATCTCAAATCAATAGTTATTAATTTACAATCAAGTCACAGATAACTTGCATTTCCTTCATTTTCCTTCAATTCAAACAAGGCTATGTTAATCTGTGTGGAATCTAATTGTGTCGATTAATCGGGTTTAATGTTGTCACGGGCCTCAACTTAGTTTGTCGTGCTTGCTGAGGGGATGTGGGGGTTACCCCTGCTTGGGTTTGTGTGCTTTCGTGTGCTTTGTACATGAATTTTTTTCCTTGTACAATGCCCTGACATTGCATAATTTGTTTTGAGAAAAGATAGAGCGCTCAAGTGCTCAAGGTCTAGTCACGCAGACTGGAGCCAGAGCGTTGAACGCCATGGTGCTCAAAATTGGCACGGTAGCGCTGCCAGGCTGGTTGGACAATTATTATTTCTCATTTTTTTTAAGGGTGGCATCCTTGGTGGCATGAATTGTATCTCTTTGTTTGTTCTTGTGTTAGAATTGTGTAAGAGTGAAGAGGAGTGAGCGAGAGGGAAGAGAAATCTGTACAAAATTCTCCCAATTTTCATAAGCGCATTTCTTGGTGTGGTGCGAATTTGTGATTTTTTCTCGGTTTCGGATTTTTCCACGTTAAATCCTGGTGCTCTTTACTTTCCGTTGCATTTTTATTTTCTTGTTTGTTTCGATGCATGGTTTACTTCCACCCCCAACAGGCTTTAGGCTAGTTTGGAAGATTTTTTTCCCGCATTGGGTTTGGAAAAGCAATTTTATAGTTTCACGCCTCTCGCCTGGAGAATGTGTTTTACAAATGCATCCAGAAATTTGTGGTTTGTATGTGAGAAATGCTGTTACAGGAGCTCGCTTGCATTTATGTTTCATAACTATGACAACACATAACTATGACATATATTTTCCTCGGTAATTAATCCTAAAGACAGTAGGTAGCCAGTGGTGGTGCCAGCGGCCAATGTTTTGAAACCCACTGAGGTCAATTTGGAGTGCAATGACGGCTATATTTAGATCAAGTGCTTCAGCTCCAGCTGGAGCTGTAGGCTGCTGAAGATGCAATTGACCATAGGCACAAACAGTTTTCAGCTCAAGTGCTCAGGCTTTCACTATAAGTGCAGTTGGTCGATGGAGGAGGTATTGGAGATCTGTGACGTCGAAGCCAGTTGGAGGAAGTGGGCTAGTGAAAGACTTAGCAATGGCTTCGGGGGGTTCAGGTGATGGAGTTTACAGAGAAGTATATGAAAACTAGAAAACTGAGAAGATTCATTACATTCAACCCCTTCAATGATCCTTCCACATAAAACTTAGTTATTTTCTTAAAACAAAACACATATAAAGCGCTACAATCAAAGATGTAAAATAAACTTTTAAGTTAGGAGCAACAGCTCAACCGCAAGTCTACCAGATAGAACCAGGTAGAAGTTAGTGACCTTACACATGACGTTTCAAACAGTAACAGCGCATCATACAAAACCTTAATATTTGCTGTACCAAATATATTGTTACATGAAATGTTAACATATAAGTTGTTTCTAAACTTCATGCTTATTCCATAGAAGTTCCTTTAATCTAGCAATAGATGGATAGCAACTTGAAGTTTAGGGGACCTTGGAGTAGATTATGTGCTTTCTTTTTTTATTCGCGTTGCTGATTAATAGAAAAACTGCAAGATAATGGTTTGGACATGTTGCTTTTGCAGGTCAAGGACAGGGTTTTGACATAGACCTAATCAGACTGATTACTGATGCTGTTAGTATTCCTGTAATTGCAAGCAGTGGTGCTGGTGCTGTTGAGCACTTCTCTGAAGTGTTTCAGAAGACAAGTGCTTCAGCTGCTCTTGCAGCTGGCATTTTCCATCGCAGAGAGGTATGGGTCTTCAAGATTATTTATGTTAATTAGGGTTGTAAATGAGTCAATGTTCAACGAGCTGCTCGGGGCTTGAATCAATAAGAGCTCGCTCATGTTCATTTGATAAGATAAACGAACGAGCTTGAATACTTTTTGATAAATACTTGATAACTAAATAAATGAGCTTGAACAGCTTAGCGTTCGGTTAGTTTATATTCATGAACAATATTGTTTAAAGTATTTTAACAAGCTCGTTAAAAAGCTCGATTAGTGCTTGACTAAGAAGCTCGATTAGAATTTTAAAAATAAATATTATTAAATTTAATAATTTATTTTTAACTTTTACCATTTTCAAAAATCCCACTCCCGCTGGTCGCTCCTGCTCACTCATCAGAAAAAAATGAAAACAATTTTATTTTCTCGCTCTCCGCTCACGCATTAGTCCCACTCCGTGCATGTCAACTTTATTTTGCTCTATAAAACGAAATAAAATGGAATATTAGCTGAACGACCTGAAGCGGGCAGACGGAGGCGTGGGAGGATTCACCTGTTGTTCGTGATTTTAGGCATTTTATTTTGTTTAAATGAGCCGAATGATTGGCTCGTTAACGAGCGGCTCTCAAAACGAGGCAAACGACTTTTTAATGAGCGGCTTGTTAAGAGGCTTGATGAGCCTAAATAATTGAGCTCGAATATGAATACGAACTGATCTCAAATAAGGGTGTTCTAAACAAGCTTGAGTTCGAAAAGAAACTAAAAAAGCTCGTCTCTTATCAAGCCATGCTCGAACAAGGTCCTGGAAAACGAGCTTGAGCTTGAACATGCTGAAGCTTGGCTCGACTCAGTTCATTTGCATCCCTAATGCTAATTAGTAGTACTCAGAAAACTCAGTTAAAATTATTTAGTGAGCTGCTTGACCTTTATTTAATATAGTTTTAAATTTCATGTTTTGTAGAAAGCGTAATCTAACATACAGAGTTGAAAGCAGTTACTGTAATATCAATCCTTACTTCCAGTTTTTGGATTGAAGTTTGCAATCCAGTTTTTTTTTTTTTTTTTTGAAGTTTTGCTTTGATTGGAAACCGATTAGGTTTTTGTAATCTTTTTCTTGCTGCAGTAAACACCATTGAAATAAATGTAAGCCTGCGAAAGGCACATGCAGACTGCAGTCCATTAAAATAAGAAAGGGAGATTTGAATATGCTTTACGAAATCATTCATATTTATAAAATTAGCACACGAATATTTAAAATAAATTATCTAATTCATTAAGAATTTAACAATGTATGAAAGCTGATTTTTTGTGATCTCAATATTTTGGTGGTATTATTACAAATAAAAATATTGATTTTTATTTTTTATTCAAATATATAAAATTCGAATGTTTGAAAAAATACCTTTGGATGTGTGTGTGCAGGTTCCTATTTTATCCGTCAAAAAGCATTTGCTAGAGAATGGCATAGAAGTCAGGTCGTGATGAGGTTTGGGCAGCACTGCAAATCTCTCTTTGGAACGAGGGATTCATAGTTTATTATTCTGTTCTTTTTTTATATTTTGGGATGTTTAAATACCAATTTAAATATGTTGGTGATAAAGTTATTATTATGAAAATTATATTATTCCATTATATATTATATTTTTGGTTTTCTACGGTTAAAAATTAAGACAATAAATTTTAGTTAGATTGTAATGATGCATCATTAAATTCATGCAATGCCGGATTCTTTTTGATATTGATTGGACAATTTGCATGGTTTCGATACATATGGTTATTTCAATTTAAAACTGTACTTGATTTACTAGAAATTAAATGAAAACCTTAGAAGAAAAAAAAAATCAAACCTTTTTTTTTCACTGCTAAGAGCTGAATTAGGAGGCTTGTGTTAAAGTTTGGAAGACCTATTTTTGGATGCATGCATATAATGTTAGCTTTGGATATACCAAGTTGTCAAGTTAGAATAGTATTAAAATATTTTGTACTCTAGCTTTGTTAAACAATATAAATGTGTGGTATTTTTGGGGTTACCGCCGAAGAAAATTCCCAGATTAATAAAACCCTAGAGCTTTGCCATAGGCGCCACCATACCGTCCATCACAAGTATGGACACTTGTCATCGCCGACATTTATAAATCACCAATATTTAATGTCCATATTCTCAATCATCTGGTCCCAATCCTATCAGGAGAATAATTGTTCTAACCAACAACCTTTGCCTACTTCTGACAGTCCTCATCAACTGTTGCTCGATGATTGCCAAAAATTGATGCATGATGTCCATTGGCTACCAACTTATCATTCTCATCTCCCCTCCAATCATGAGGATGATTGAATTGAATTGACCGTTGAACATTGCTTGATTTCCAACTTTTCTAATTGATTATTGTTCGACATATGCCAATAAACGGCATATATTGTCTTGTTACCATCACCACTTGTCATCCGATCTATTGGATGTGCAATCTCTCCTATTGGGAGAATGATTGACCTGACCATCGACCGTTGCTTGACCTCTGACGTTCCTTGTTTCCATTGATCGATGCTTGCTAACGTTTGACTTCCAACGCCTGTTAGCCACTAACATTCCTCACCCGTTTTATCAATCATTAGGTCTCCACTCCTATCCAGAGAATAATTGAGCCAATCGTCGATTGACGTACATTTCTTTATGATGGTACAACATGTGTTCTCTTAAAGTCTCCAGTACAATCCTCAGGTGACCCACATGTTTTGCATCCATACAATTATAGATCAAGATATCATCAAAAAATACAAAGACTAACTTTCTATGGTAGTGTTGGAAAACCCAGTTCATGAGGGACTGAAATGTGGCTGGGGCATTAGTAAGGTCGAAAGGCATCGCCAAAAACTCGTACTGACCATCATGAGTCCTGAAAGTTATCTTGTGCATATCCCCCAGCTTCATTTTGATCTGATGGTATCTTGACTTCAAGTCAATATTCGAGAAAATAATTGCTCTAAACAACTCATCCGGCAGCTCATCGATTACAGGGATAGGAAACTTATCAAGGCAGTTTCCTCTTTTAGGGCCTTGTAATCCATGCAAAACATTCAATTGTCATCCTTCTTTCTAACTAGTAGCACGGGGTTGGAAAAAGGACTCATACTGGGCCTAATAATTCCTTCCTCAAGCATCTCTCTGATGAGCTTCTCGATCTCATTCTTCTGAATCTGTGGGTACCGATATGGTCTGACATTGATAGGAGATGTTCCGTCCTTCAAGGTAATGGCTTGCTCGTGCTCCAGGGGTGGCGGTCATACATTAAGTTGTTGAAAGACCTCAAAGAACTGCTGCAGAAGTTGTTGTACACAATCAGGGACCTCGACCAACTCTGTACCTCGAACCTCCAGGCTCTATAGCTCCACCAAGTAGCCCTGCCCTACTCCCTGTATCACCTTAACCATGGTTTTGAGCGAAACCATAGTTCTGCACAAGCTGGCATCTCTTCGTAGCACCACCTTCTCCACCTTAATCTTCATAGTCAGAGATTTCTAGTCCACCTTCGTCTCCTCGTCGTTTATAACCACTTCATCTCTAAGATTACATTAGTGCTTCCCAAATCTAAGGGAAGAAAATCTTCCACTATATGTATGCCCTGAGTGTCAGCACCTCCCCCTGCTCATCCTCTCCACCTTTCTTGTTCCCATAATAAATCCAAAGCTCCTTGTATCCACCAACTTCAATTTCAACTGGTCCACGACCTGATTTGAGATGAAGTTATGAGTAGCCCTGTTATCCACCAAGACCACAACTTGCTGCTATCTGATCTGCTCCCTCACCTTCATGGTGTGACTTAGAGTAAATCCCACAATTGAATTTAGGATCACTTCTGCCACATCTTGGTGTACGTGCTCCTCTCCTTTTTTTTCCTCCACTAGATCCGTATTGTCAATCTCCTCCCCAAAAACCATGAGGATATGGAGTGTGCGGTCCTTTGACCGATGGCATGGTGCATACTTCTCTTCATAACGAGAGGACATACTTTTTTCTCTCTTGTCCTGAACTCTACTTCTACGAGGCACTTGTAGTTGGCGCTGGGGAAACTCCCCCACTCTTTGCCTTCGGTGCCTCCCGCTGAAATGACACTGTATGGCTTCTCGATGTTAATGAAGTCAATGTACTTTTGTAAGAGCCTCCTGCAACCCCGCTCTTACTGCTCCTCTTCATATGTCTCTGATCCCCCACTATGTAGTCTAGCTCCATCGTCTTCTTTAACCCCCTTGGTCTCATCAAATGGAGATTTTCTTATATGTCAGGCTTGAGGCCTTTCATCAAATTTTCCCCCAACACCACCTCTGAAATTCCCTTCAACCTCCCCGACAGTAACTTGAATCTCTCCCTGTACTACATGAAAAATCCTTCCCGAGTCAAGGAATTGCTTGTGTATGTCTCCTTCTGGAATGGCTAAGAAATATTCGAACAATCAATCTTTAAACTTCTCCCATGAACGAATCAAATATCTAGCCTCCCTCCACTAGAATGAAGCGAGGGCTTTCCCTTCAAACCTAACCTTGCAGCTGTAAGCTTCTCCTCCTCTCTCAACCTGTCACTGCAAAATACCTCTTCACCCTATATACCCCATCCATGGCCTTCCTCTCCTTCGAATGCCGGCATCTTCAACTTTCTCACATTCACTTCTCCACCCCAACTTTCTTTCCTGCCAATGGTTCCCCCCATGTATCGAGGGTGGGAGTCCCACCTTTCTTCCATCCGCCTCCCATTATCCGATCCCCATGGCTCGGTTTGTCCACCTCCTTCTTTGGTTGTCCACTCCCTTTGCCCACACGATCTCCCATAGTGGTCGGTCACCCTACCACCTCCACCATAAAATCCTCCATAAAGCTCCCTTTCATTGTCCCCCCATAAGACAATCCTATTTTGCCTCTTATTAGAGCCATAAGAGGTGTCTGTTGATGAAAGGAACTCTCTTTGTCGAATACTTTCCCTTTAGATTCAACCAAGGGATTTCTGACTGAATCGTAGTGAGGGTTAGCCATTGGAACCGTCGGTGGATTTTTGGATTGCATTTCAATGAGCGTCTCATCATCTTCTCTAACCCTAGATTTGAATTGCTCTATTTCACCTTCCAACTCTTCCACGTTTGCTGCCATTGTCTCCAAAAAAAACGTCGCTATGATATCATTTTGATGCATTTTGGAAGTAAAAACAGCAAGGTCACAAGTAGAAAACTGTAAGAATTTGAAGATTGGGGTTGATTTGGATTCAATAATGAAAGATGGCTATTGATCCACAATTTGAGAGGTATATCAGCTCTTCTACAAACCCTAGACGCCGCTAGGAAACTCACCCAAAGAAAAGCTACAGCAAAAATAAATTGCAGTAATATAGTTAGCCCTAAATAGTCTCTTCTATTTCCCTCTCAAATCAACTCCCTTTTCCTTAATTAACTCCCTCTCAGATTTGAATTCAAATTTGAAACTATTTCTCTAAATAATTCCCTCTTAATTATAATTAAAATTTTCCTAAATAACTTACCAGTGTTCCTCCTCCTTTCATAATGAATTATAGCTTTGTTAGGCCTCATAAGGGGTGCCGAAATTTTCTCTGGTTCTGCCCAGCCAAGGGGCTAGTTCGGCCTTTGCCAAACTAGCGGCTTTGTTGGTTTATCCTTGTTGTTCCGACCTCCTTCTATCCCCTCTCCTACCCTATCACATTATCAGCCATACGTGGCTAAATATAAATTTAATAGTTATTACTATTTACTATAAAAGATGTGCTAAATTATCTTTATGAGTTATTATTTCTTAGTGAAAAACCTTATATTTAAATGATCCCCTTATAGCATAGTAAAAGCTCTTATATCTATACTAAAGCCGTTATGTTAGATTAAAACATCTTACTACTATATAACAAGATATCTTCTATCTAATAAAATCTTATATTTATGTCCAAAACTTATATGTGATAAAACTTCCACATCTCTTCAGAGAACTAAGTATTAATCACTGATTCGGTTCCTAGTTATAAAATTGTTGAAAATGATGGACCAATTTACTAAGGGGTTGAGATCTTATTCTTCTCTCCGCCTGTCTGGAATTCTGACACACTAATAGTAATTTACGCCAATCTTACTTATATTTGCACTTTGATGCTCGCCATTAAAGAAATTGGACTTGCTTGGTACTGGTTTCCCCATTTTTTCCCTTTGATAGTCCTGTATTTATTAGAGCAGATATTTCTGTTCTTTTGTTGTAATTTGTTCTTACCATTCTTTAGTGAGTGAATTATCAGGAAGCAACCTGACACGGAAAACTGCTTTTTTAACTCATTTGTATGCTTTATATTTGTAATTATTGCAGACTTTGATGTTTGGCATGCTCTTGTAATTCCTTGCCTTTTTTTTTTTTTAACTTGATGATAACGCCATGCATTGATGCATTCATACAGGCCTGCTTACTCTTTTTCTGGTTCTAGTGCTTTATGATTATAACATGCATTCATCCTTAATGGACCATTTGTCACTTACCATAGTGGTCCATTTTGATTTGAATTCTCGACATTTTTTATTCTAAGTTGTAGAATTTAGTTTTTGCCACGAAAAAAAAGCACCATGCAGATTGCAAATATTTTAGAAATTTTGTTAATTTTTTTCTGCTCTTATTT